AACATGAAAATATTGTACAGCTGCGCCATTGCGCCAATAATGTATTTTTGATGATGTCAAAGTTAAACATATTCCATTTCCTAATTAAACACATGCAATAAGATTATTACCGGCGCCGTGGACTCCTGTATATAGACGGTGTGTTGAGTGGGCAGTTGCGCGGGCAGCTGTTGCCCGGAAGGCAGGTGGCAGAGCCCGCCCGAGGCCAGCGCTGCAAGGATCACCTGCAACACGCCCTATTACGTCAATACCATGTTGTTTGGTAGTCTACATATTTTCGATCTACTAACTTGATAATAATAAAACAAATTAATAATAAGTACCCGTTTTCGATTTACAGAAAAGCACTAAGGAGGATAATGTTAGGCGGTATTTCGCCAAGCTTGTAAATGTAATGCTTTACGATTTTATAAAACTTATAGAAGTATTTTATTTGTTTTCACAAATGTAATCAGTTCCACTAATCGATAGAATTGAGCTTAAGACGATTATTTATAAAACATATCGTAACAATAGTTGCAGAACTCACCAGAACGTTCATTTTCCTCGCAACAAAACCAACATCTACCAATAACATTTGAAACTATTTAGTTAGTTGTAAAAAAACAAGTCTCCTTATATACAGACATAAACATGTTATCTAGTAATAATAGACAGTGTCTTGTATTATTAGAAAACAGGATCCGCGACGCGAGCAGCGCACGGAGCGCGCTTGCCGCCACCGCCGCCGACGCCTCGCCGCGCGACCGTCCAGGACATATACATATGTACCACCGGGGAGCCTGGCGGTGTTCCACTTTCAGAGCTAGTAGTTTGAACGTTTGGTACTTCTAGCAACGACGACGCGGAGCACACGTATTTCATTATAATCTCGCCAGCAACGCTACTGGCTGCTGCCTAATTGGTTTTTGTAAGTTTGCTTTGTTGCAAGGAAAAAGTGACAGTGTCCTGACAGTGTATGTATTTTGTGGTCACTCTATTGTTACTACATTAACTCACCATACTGATTTATTTGACAAAATGTTAAACGATTGTAGCCTTTATGATGGGACAACGCCAACGAACGCGACTGTACCTTGAATGGAAAGTGCAAAGATGAAGGTATTTACTATTTATTATGATCCATAACAATTATTTAAATTTCAATGCATTAAGATTATATCATTAACATAGATGTCGTTTTGTTTTATTTCGTATTTACGAAACGTCTTTTTATTTAATGCTATTAATAGGACACAGAGTAGTGCCTAACCTATTCTCATGTCATTATTTTGTCCCATGTATTTTACTTTATGTTTAATGCATAAATATTTTGTTACTTACGTATTATGAACACAACGTATTGCTGTTTATTGTCGACGACTCTCTGTACGTGACCACTGATTGCTGAAGATGGCACACTAACACAGCTGAATGAATGAAGTAATTGTTTAAAATCCCTCTTTCCTGTTAATCTAGGGAAATTCTGCAGTATGCCACACGGTTAACAAAATTTGCAGTGAATTACGTTTCAGACAAAACACATGAAAAGGGAAGTTACAATTTTTACATTGCTAAGTTATTATATTCTGTGCTCGATAATATGTTCAAATATAAACAAATTATGTGTTCTATGATGAATACCATTTGTCGGTATCTTTGCTAATCTATCACAACATGATGCAATACTTTAAATTGCTATATTAGATTAATCTCGCCTTCATTTAAAATGCTGAGATAAAAGCAAATTAATGTATATTTATGAAACAACGTCGCAGACTTGCAGTCGGCCATGATGTCACCTGCACGCAGCGCCGCTGACTCATGCACCTGTCGGATGTTACTGGGAGCTGGATGCGAAAAGATGAGGTTTATAATTTCCATTCGAAACTTTCTTCGCCAAAAATGCGTAAGAAGGTGCTACTGCATCCTCGCTCGATGAGAACATTATCGATAGCCAATATTACTGTACATAATTAATACGGAATAATTAACAAAATTTTTAGATAAGACTGGTTTTTCTGATTTTTTGTTCGAAACCGGAGAATGAGAGCAGTTGTAATGTCAGTAGGTACGCAATCGAGATGATGCGGTGCG